TGCAGCTGCAGCGGCGTCCACGCGAGACACTTACGTCCCAGCAGCTTCACGAGTGGTACGCTCAGAGTAGAGGGTCTCGGAGTACCGTTCGCTGCCCGTAACGGTCATTCGCACAGGTGATCGGGCTGGTCAGGCTTGCGGGACCCTTGGTCACACACAGTCCCCGCTGCTTCGCCCGTCTGAGCGACGCCCTGGCGTACCGAGTTGTGGCGACGAGGCTGAGCTCCCCAACCTGGCTGGAGCTGCTTGGGCAGAGGGTAGATATCTTTGCTCTTGACTATGATGCTATTATCACTGCCATGTATTCATTGCCTACTAGTGCTGACCGTGGCCTGTTACCTGTGCGTGACCGCCTGACCCAGGTATAGAGCCTGCTGCTCTAGGTGCTGGTGAGGCTGCTGCTCTAGGTGCTAGTGCGTCTCCTGCTCTAGGTGCTGGTAAGGCTTCTGCTCCAGGTGCTGGTGAGTCCTGCTCTCTCTGGTACTATTGCGATTGCTGAGGCCTTGTACACCTTCACACTTGACTCAGGTGCTTCTCGCTCCTTCTTTCGCGACAGCACCACCCTCACCGCCGCTCCGTCGGCCGGTTGCAGTCTCCCTGGCAGACCCCTCTGGGGGTCCAGTCCTTGCGCACTCCTCCACGGTCCTGCCGTGTCCGGCGGTCCCGTCTGGCTCCCTGTTAGGTCTTCACCTCCCCTCGTTCTCTACGAACTTGGTGAGTGGTGCTGACCTTCAGGACCAGTGGGTTGACCAGTTCACTTCCTGGAGGTCAGCGCGTGAACCCACTGTACGTGCTCCCCGGACGGGCCGGCACCTGGCCACGTTTACCCCGTGCGCCTGGCTCGAGTCTGTACACACTGACTACTATGTCCCCTCAGGTCGCTGCGTCCTGCGTCTATCGTCAGGTCAGCTAGTGGCCCCCTGCTCGTGTCGCGCTTTGTCGCACCAGACCCTCCTTTGGCACCACCGCCTTGGTCACCCCTCGGTGCAAGCGCCTTCGTAGCATGCACCGCCGTTTCCTCCTTGTCTCTGGACTTCCAGAGACTCTGCCTCCCTCTACCAACCTCGCCTGCTCCTCCCTGTCTTCCTGTATCGAGGGGCGGCAGTGCGCCGCTCCTCACTCCTCCTCGTTTCCCCCGACGACTGCTCCCCTGCAGACCCTGCACATGGACGTGTGGGGCCCAACCCGCGTCCGTGGGCAGGACCGCGAGCGGTACTTCCTGCTAGTTGTTGACGACTACTCGCGTTACACCACGGTCTTCCCCTTGTGCACCAATGGTGAGGTCCCTGATGTTTTGATCCCTTGGATCCTCCGCGCTGCCCGTCCTCCAGCTCCGCGAGCGGTTCGGGACGGAGTTTCCCGTCCTGCGTCCTGGCGCATCAGCTCAACCTCTGGCCCCGTGTCTCCTTGCCGGAGACCTCGCCCACACTTGCGGTGGACGGGGGAGGTTGGCGATGCGTCGGTGTTCCGGGTCTGGGGTTCTCGTGCCTTTGTCCGCGATACCACCGCGGACAAGCTCTCCGCCCGCGCTGTTCCCTGTGTCTTCCTTGGCTTTGTCCCTGACGCGCCTGGTTGGCAGTTTTACCACCCCACCTCGCGCCGTGTCTTCCCCTCTCAGGACGTCACGTTCGACGAGTCGGTTCCCTTTTACCGTCTCTTCCCCTACCGCACTGCCCCTCTCCCCCCCCGCCGCTCTTCCTCGCTCCAGGTGCTCCCCAGGTAGACCCCCTCCCCGCTCCCGGTCCTGCTCCTTTAGGTGTGTCTCAGGTAGACCCTCCTCCCTTGTCTGCGCCGGTTGAGGTCACTGGTGACTCAGGTCCTGCTGGGGGTGGTCCTGCTCGGGGTGCTGCTTCTGGGGGTGCTGAGCCTGGGCGTGAGGAGTCTGGGGGTGCTGAGCCTGGGGGTACTGAGTCTGGGGGTGCTGCACCTGGGGGCGCTGAGGCGTCTGGTGAGCAGTCTCCCTGGAGCGGCCGTCTCCGTAGTCGCTTCGCTGGTGCCTCGCCGCTGCACTCTCGTCGTCGTCTCCCTCTCTCCCCACAGCAGCTGCGTGAGTGGTACGTTAGCCGTCAGGGTCGAGCTGCTGGAGCTGGGGGCCCTGCTGCGGGAGGTGCTGGTGTTAGAGGCACTGGAGCCAGCGCTGTCCCTCTCTCCCCACAGCAGTTGCGTGAGTGGTACGTTAGCCGTCAGGGTCGCGCTGCTGGAGCTAGGGGCCCTGCTGCTGGAGGCGCTGGAGCTGGTGACTCTACTACTGGTGTTGTTTCTACTAGAGTTCCTGGAGCAGCTGGTCCCGGAGGTGCTCGTACTGGAGGTACTGGAGCTGCTGGGACTGGAGGTCCTGCTGGACCTGGAGGTGCTGCTGTCGACTCTGAGGTTGGGGGCCCTGGAGCTGGAGGTGCCGGCTCTGGGGGTCCTACTGCTGGTGGCGCTGGAGCTGGAGGTTCTGGAGCTGCTGCGGGTGCTGGCGCTGGAGGTTCTGGAGCTGTTGGAGGTGCTGGCGCTGGTGGCGCTGGAGCTGGAGGTTCTGGAGCTGCTGCGGGTGCTGGCGCTGGAGGTTCTGGAGCTGCTGCGGGTGCTGGCGCTGGAGGTTCTGGAGCTGTTGGAGGTGCTGGCGCTGGTGGCGCTGGAGCTGGAGGTTCTGGAGCTGCTGCGGGTGCTGGCGCTGGAGGTTCTGCAGCTGTTGGAGGTGCTGGCGCTGGTGGCGCTGGAGCTGGAGGTTCTGGAGCTGCTGCGGGTGCTGGCGCTGGAGGTTCTGCAGCTGTTGGAGGTGCTGGCGCTGGTGGCGCTGGCGCTGGAGGTTCTGGAGCTGCTGCGGGTGCTAGCGCTGGAGGTTCTGGAGCTGCAGGAGGTGCTGGAGCTACTGTTCTTCGCTCCGCCGTCACCTTCGTCTCTGCCACCGCCTGGTTCCGTGCTTCGCCAGGTTCTGAGCCTCCCGTCTTCTACTGGTCTTCCGTTACAGCCTGGCTCACCGCTGCCTGCTCCTGCTCCTTACACTGAGCTGACAGGCGGTCTTGCTGAGCGTCGTGAGCCTGCGTCTCGTCCTGTCTCGCCTGTTCGCACTGTCCGCACTGGTCGTACTGGTCGTCGTGTTCCTCGTGAGCGTCCGCCGGCTGTCCCCGGCACACACCTCATGACTGGTCTTGTGACCCCTTGCTCTCCCCCACTTTGCCTATGGGGGTGTGTCAAAGTATATGCATGTTATATATGTGTAGGCTGTAGTGGGGTAGACAATATGGGGTACAGCCCCTTTAGGGTTTCATACTTGTACCCAACTCTCTCATAGTTCATTCATTCCTGTCTCTAGATTCTGACACATGCTGCCCCCTGCCCAATTAGACGCTCCAGCTGCCACGAGGGTCGCAACCACTGTGCGCGGTTGCACCCTTATAGCTCGCCAGGTGGGTCACCATTCTCGATATGGAGACACTCGCTGCTACACTTCAAATAGTGCAGTACATATAAATATTCCGTATAATGATACCGTAACACGTTCTAGTATATGTACTTGGGTATGTTGACATTGCACGAATCATCGTGCGGATCACAATATGTACACCATATATGATACAAATGAGCATATAGACAATACATAATAGATATATATATATATATATATATATATATATATATATATATATATATATATATATATATATATATATATATATATATATATATATATATATATATCTGCCATTGTTACTGTTGATGCTTACTGGGCACATGTTTAATGGACAATGCTTATTAGAAACACATTTGATTCATAATTTTGGGATTATACCTATTGAACAAACTTTTCAAACGAGACATGTATGGCTGCTTCCGTTGACCTGCCACACCACTTCCTGTGTTGAAATGTTTTACAGGAAAAAGAAGTGCGAAAGTTTGCGACACTGTAGCCTCTCGCTCCACACGACCCGTCGATTCTCCTTTCTTTCCCGGTTGTTTGTGATAACCTGTAATCTGCCCAAACAGAAGCTTATCTGTCAATCCGACGACAGTTTGTGCGTGTTCCACGATGCCAGCGCAGCAGAAGCTGAGCGAATCAATGTAGGCGAACTTGTGCGGGAAGAGAGGGCGCAGCGCATGCGCGCACATTTACACGCGCACATGCGGGATCCACGCGAGAGCACGCTCTTGCTGACATGGAACCGCGCGGACGGGGGAAAAGATGAGCAGAGGAGAGTAACCGCCATAATATCTTCGCCGGATCGCCTAACAGCTTTCGCGAGGTCGTGATGACGTGTCCACAGATTCGCAACGTGCAGTACACATTCGTACACCTTCGCATGCTTATCTCCCTCTCCTCCCATCCTTGAACTGACCCCCAAAACATATTTTTTTCACCGTAGTCTTTGCTGTCACATCGAATTCAACACACCTGAGGGCAAATATCGTTGAGCAGAAATTGGCTGTCGCCGGAACCGAAGGCTCTACTATTTTCTGTGGAACTGAGTAAAACAAGGACACATTAATATAGGCCAAATGACATCAACCGGAAAAGCAGCCGGAGCGCCAGTCACTGCAGGAATCTCTAATGCTGCGTCAGAAGTTGTCTGTGTCACCTCAGGGAACACGGGTGAGATTTCAGTCACCATGGATAGTCCACCTGCGCCTTCGCTCCCGCAAGCAGCCGCCGGTACTAGTATAGCCATTCCTCCCCCTAGTGTCACGTCCTGTACAGTCACAAACCCGCTCGCTGCGGCGATCCCGGCGCGCAGTGTGACGCAATCCACGTCTCCGGAGCGCAAGTACCAGCGCGCATTGGAGAGCGCGTCATTAGAGAGCGCGCACAAGCGCGCCAGCTCCGTCCGCTTCGCCGACGACGATGACGTGGAGCCGGGCGGAAGCGGAGATGCCGGCGGGGCGGGGAAAGCGGCGGAGGCGGTGGAGGAGGAAGAGGCGGCGGAAGAGACGGCGGAAGAGGCGGCGGGTCGAGGGAGGCTAACGAACAAACGTTGGCGGATGACGCGGCATCGTCTGATGGAATATCGCTCGAGTCGATGAGCCGCGCGGGGAGTCAGCGGGAGCGCGAGGAGTGGCAGCTGGACTACAGCCAGTTCGAGGCGGCGCGGCGCGACCTCGACGACGGCCATGGCCGGCTGCGAATGCTCAGACGGCGTGAGTTGCGCTGCTGCGAGCTGATGCTTGCTCTCGGGGACCCGACATTTGAATGTCCCACTCCATTTTCGTTTGTTTGTTTGTTTGTTTGTTTGTTTGTTTGTTTGTTTGAGTCAAAGCGGTGCACACCCTTTTTTTAAGGCGCCTTCGCGCCGCGGATTGCCGCATCAGATTTCATCCATCCTGCTGCTTGCGCATCAAGCCCATGCTCGCATCTTCTTCCTCCCCACGTCCGCGCCACATCCGCTTCCTTTTTCCCCGCTCCCGTTTCCCCCGATTCTCATTTTTCCGCACACGCGCGCTTTCACGCACGCGTGCGCTGCAGTGGCGGGGCGGAACCCCGTGGACGGATACTACCGGCAGCAGAACGAGACGATTGACGGATTCAGTGAGATGGGTAGTAGTACCCACACGTGAGCGTTTCCTGCCTTTTGCCGCGTCCATTTCCCCCCCGTTTCTCCCTGTTCTCGCGCGCTGCAGTGGCGGGGCGGAACCCCGTGGACGGATACTACCGGCAGCAGAACGAGATGATTGACGGATTCAGTGAGATGGACGCGCTCAGTGAGCAGCTGCTGCCGCCCACTCCCAGTGTACGTTCACCTGCTCAGAAAGCCCTGCACCGCTGTGCACCCGATGCACCCGTGTGCACCCATTGTCACCGCTGTGCACCGGTTTATCTGTACCAACTGACGCACTCAGCGTCGCTCTGTTTATCCTCTTCATGCCTCTGTGTCTGTCCCTGTCCTCCCCGGTGGCAGGAGGTGAGGGAGGCTCGGCAACTCCAGCGGCACGAGATCATGGCCGTGCAGGTGGGTTGGGTTGGGTTAAATCCGGTTGTGTTGGGTTCGGTGGGGTTGGTTTGATCCGAAGGTTGCGTAATGCACGGCTTGCTCGTGAGTCCATCCAGCATCTGCTCTCTCCATCAACCCCTGCTCCCCCTCCCCCAGCTCAGATATATTCGAGACGTCTTAAACATTGAGCCCAACCCACGCCTGCTCTGCTCTGCTCTGCCCGATTAACCCCTGCCCATCCCAATCAACCCCTTCTCCTCCTCCCCTAGCTCAGATATCCAAAGACGCCAATGCGTGCTTAACCAGTCTGCTGTGCTCCTCACATCATACTCCACCCCACTGCATCCCGCCCACCTCACTTCACCGCACCCCACACCCACGCAGATATCCAACGGCGCCAACGTGTGTCTGTTCATTGTCAAGATCATCGC